CCCTCTCTTGTAGCCCCTATAGCAATAAAAATGCTGTACACAGGACAGTGACAAGCCAGTGCTGGTTGGTGCTTCCCGTGTGCCAGGCGCTGTTCCATGTATGCATACGTGTTCACTCATAACCCGCAGCAGCCCCGCTGGGAGGTACGCTGACGGTTCCTCTCTTGTGTGGGGGACAGAGTCACTCGCCAGGGGTCACAGGGCTAAGATGTGGCCAAGTAGGCAGCCTGGCTGGAGCCCCCCACTCCAGGTCACAGCTCTGAACCGCCTTTTCCCGAGCCAGCCTGTCTCTACCCAGCCATTGAGTCCTGGCAGCCTGTCATTCCACGTGACTGCGCCCTGCTGGATGTCATCACCACCAGCCCCAGCCCCTCTCTGACGTTCACCTTGCAGATCCTAGACGTCCTGGTCTTCCCCAGCGCCTGCTCTAATATTTTAAAAAGAAACAAGTTTCACTGAGATGTGATTCATCTACCACACAATTCACCCATTCAAAGTACGCAGTTTCGGGGGTAGCTCCCAGAGCTGTGCAGCCGTCACCACCGTCCATTTTATTTTATTATTATTATTATTTTTAAATATTTTATTTATTTATTTTTCGAAAGAAGGGAAGGGAAGGAGAAAGAGTGGGAGAGGAATATCAATGTGTGGTTGCCTCTCATGCGTCCCCTGCTGGGAACTGGCCTGCAACCCAGGCATGTGCCCTGACTGGGAATCGAACCGCAAAACTCTGGTTCGCAGGCCCGCACTCAATCCACTGAGCTACGCCAGCCAGGGCTCCACCGTCCATTTTAGAACATTCCCATCACCCCCAAGGAGACCTGGGCCCCTTAGCTGCCATCCTTGAACTTCCCCGTTCTCCCCAGCCCCTCGCAACCACCAGTCTACTTCCTGTCTCTGTGGATTTGCCTGTCCTGGGCATTTCATGTAGATGGAATCCTGTGGCGTGTGGCCTTTGTGTTTGGCTTCTTTCACTTGGCATGACGTTTCCAAGGTCCATCCGTGTTGTTGCTGGTGCCAGAACATCGTCATTTTTCATTGCTGACTAATATTTCGTTCCACGGACAAACCACATCTTACTGATGCACCGGTTCGTTGCTGGGCGTTTAGGATGCGACTCTTGGCTGTTGTAATGTGGCCGTGAACACAAGTCTTTGCGTGGACACCTGCGTTCTCTTCTCTCCTGTATATGTGGCAGTGGTGTTGCCGAATCACATGGGAACTCCGTAACTGGCCGAGGCCAAGAACTTTGAGTAGCTCCTCCGACTCCTCGTCTCGTTTTCAGGGCCAGGCTTCTCATCTGAACCGAGGGCCCCGGCCCTGCCCTCCAGCTCGTGCCATTCACCCCGAGTAGGACGCGGCCTCTGGCCAGAGTCAGCCCACACACACGTGTCTTTGGGACACACAGGCTTTTTAACAATGTGAACTGTTTGTGCACATTTAAAAATCACGTGACCAGCCCTGGCTGGTGCAACTCGGTTGGTTGGAGCATCATCCTGTAACCGAATGGTTGCAGGTTCAATTCCTGGTCAGGTTCAGTACAGGAGGCAGCTGATCAATGCTTCTCTCTCCCGTCTGTGCCTCTTTCTCTTCCTTCCTCTCTCCCTTTTTCTCTCTCTAAAAAGCAATGAAAAAAAATCCCCAGTGAGGATAATACACACACACATACGTGAAAACTCATGGGATTACACTCAGTGATGCAAGTGTCTATGCCCTTCACCTCCTGGGGGGCACCGCCCAATGGCAGCTGAGGGACATAAGCCCCGCCCCCTCCTCCTCACACTTTTACTGGCCACTGAGGCATGGGGGTCCTGACCTTTGACCTAGTCCCATCCTTCCAAAGCCCAGCCCAGCTTGCGTCTTTGACCCTGTATTCCACTCTGCAAGCCCTGGTGCTCGTGCCACTCGGCGCCACACTGAGCGTGACGCTGTTGCCTGGTTGTTCGGAGGGAGTGGCAGGAAGTTAAAAGAGAGCCGTTCTGGTGGTGGGGATTGCGGGTGCTGAGGCCGACGGTCTGGGTTCGAACCTCAACCAGCTACGTGACCTTGGGCAAGTTACCTAAGCTCTTGGAACCCCAGTTTCCTTATATGTCAGATGGGGGTTACGGCAGGACCGCCCTAGGTGCCACTGCTGTGAGGAGGGGCAAGCAGACGGATGGCACCGCCGTTGGTGCCATTCCCTTCTTTCTGATGCCTCCCCAGCGGTACTGCAGGGGCTCTGAAGACCAGAACCCTGTGGGGCTGGGGAGCTCAGCCGCTATTCTCCCAGTCGGGGGGCGGGGGAGGCACCTCGAGCATCTGGGCGGGATGTTTGGGCTGGGTCGTCCTGTACTCTCAGGGGTGCGCTCTGGTTGGGGGGGTGCGGAGCTCTGGTCGGGAATAGAGGAGTCAGAATTCTACCCTCGAGACGTGGGCGCCTTCCTGCAGGAGGGCTCCTGGCCTCCTTTCTTGCCCCGACAGCAGCACCACCATCGGGCGTGGCATACTAGGCTGACCTCAGGGCAGGTTGTCTGTGGTCCAGGCTCAGTCCTGCCCGCCCTCCGGCCAGCTGGGTTGCTCGGGGGCCTGGCCGGGGCAGGTGGCTCAGGACCGGCGGCCAGGACCCAGGGAGGCCGCTATAAAGCGGTGTGCTGGACCCGGCAGGTCGGAACAAGGGGCCACTTCTTTTTGTTTGAATTAGTGACTAGATGAAAAAAGAATGCTTCCAAAATATGTGTAAGCTCTACAGAACTGAGGTATAACAAATATCATGTACCTACAAACCCATCTTGTAAAAAAAAGACCTTTAGCCCTGGCTGGTGTGGCTCGGTGGATTGAGCACCGGCCTGTGAACCAGAGGGTCGCCAGTTCGATTTCCAGTCAGGGCACATGCCTGGCTTGCAGGGGGGGTCCCTGGTTGGGGGCGTGTGAGAGGCAACTGATGGATGTACCTCTCACACATCGATGTTTCTCTCCCTGTCTTTCTCCCTCCCTTCCTCTCTAAAAATAAATAAAAATCTTTTAAAAAGAACTTTACTGTCTCCTCTGTCCCTCCCCAAATTCTATCCCGTACCCTCACTCACTGTTCCAAATTTCGTGCGGATTATTCTCTTCTCTCTGTCGTTCCCCGTGTGTCTGGCTCACTAACACTGTACCGTGGCCTTCTGAAGAGGCCTCACACTGGGTTGCCTGAGGGGGCTGCGTGGACCCCTTTATCCTGCCTTCAGGATAATCTCTTTGGATCTGGCGTCCGGTAACTGGCTCTTTTCAACTGTTTCTAACACATAAAACCCATCCATTGCATTAACAACGTCCAGTGATATTTTTTCATTTGTCGAAGTCCTGTTTTTTCTGGTCATTTCCCATCCTACTTCCAGAATTTGTTTTATGAAAGAATTCCTGTGTCTTCCTGTCGACTTGGTTTTGCGCCTGGTCCATGGCGTCGTGCACACATCCGTTTGCTGCACGGCGTCGTCACAGGGTTGACTGGCCCTCTGTCAGGGGCCTGGGGTGCAGCGGCCATCAGAGACGCAGACCCTGCTCCAATGGAGCTTGGGGCGTGGTGGGGCAGAGACGAACGGGCACTGAGTCCTTTGGGGGGACTGGTAGGAGGCGGGGGCCCCCAGGAGGGTGGGCCCAAGGTCGTTGGTGTCTCCTGGGAGTGGAAACCTGCAGGATGGCGGGTTGCTGGGTGCAGGGCTGTGGGAGGGGCCAATGCCAGGCTCTGGCCGAGGGGTGTGTCCAACAACCAGCTCCTGGCTCTGCGGGCACCAGCCCCGGGCATCCGACTCTTCCTTCTCACACAGAGCAGGGACCTGCGTGGACCTCGTACCACACAGGATCTGTGAGTGTGACCAGGAGGGGTGTGTGGAATGTCGCAGCCCCGTGCCAGGCCACAGCAGGCATCCGGTTGGCATCGCCGGGCTCTGTGCTCACTCAGTGTCCTGTGGTATGCCCTTTGACCCTCAAGGCGACCTGTCCCCCGGCCAGCTTGACATCTCCACCTGCACGTCCTAAGCTGAAATACACCCGAAACGGAACTCGTGGCTTCCCCTCCATCAAAGTGCCCTGCAGGTGTCCCCACTGCCTGTCCCTCGTTTATGCCCCATTCTAGGAGTTACCTTGGGTTCCTCTGTTTTGCTTGGCCAGCCCGGTCAGCGCCGACTCCAGAGTGAGTCAATCGTCCACCCTCTGCAGCCCCTGCTCTGCCCCTGAAAGCCTCCTCCTTGGTCTCCTCGCTTCAACAGCTGTTCCCCCTCAGCAGGCCGGGAGGGTCTACCCCAAATGCACGTCAGAACTTGTCCTTTCTTGTGTGACACCCTCCAGTGGCTTCCCCTGAACCAAGAAGCAAAAGAAGCTCCTGTCTCCTCCCTCTGGCCTCCCCTGCAGACCCCCGGCCGCAGAGCTCTCCCGGCTTCTGCTTTCCACGTGCTCCCTCCCCGGCTCTTTGCAGGGCCGACTTTCCAGGTCTCGAAGGGACCTTCCCTCTGTTCTGGCACCATCTCAGTTTCTCTACTGACTTGATGTTCTCCTTCTTCCCCACCTCCCTCCCTGTAAGCTCAGGGCAAAGACCTGTCTGTGTCCTTGGTGCCTGCAGGCTTCTTGGCACATTTGTGTACTTGGTAAGGGGTGGCACTTGTCAGCAGGAGGCAGAAACGGAGACTCAGAAGTCACACTAGTAAGGGGCCTTCAGACCCCAGAACCCAGGCCAGTGCCCCAGGCCGGGCCAGAGGCCAGCCACATGCTGTGAGTGCAGGCTGGCCCTTGCTGGGACCAGAGCCCTCCCCACGCTCTTCCTGGAGAAGCCCAGAGGGTTCGGCGTGTCTTAAGTGGCTCCCACGGACGGAGGTGGCCCAGAGACACCGCTGCGTGCTCTGGTGGAGGTTTTCTGCCCGAACGTTTTCCGTAGGCTCTCTGGGCTGGGGAATGCGGGTGCAGGGCAGGGTCCTGCTGCCCCTCGGGAAGTCCAACCCGCTGCCCACACTTCATGGCCCCCTCCTCCCTCTCCTCCTCCCGCTCAGGCCGCACCAGCTTCTATGAGGAGTACGGGGTCATTCGCGACGTCCTGCAGAACCACCTGACCGAGATCCTGACCCTGGTGGCCATGGAGCTGCCCCACAACGCCAGCAGCTCGGCGGCCCTGCTGCAGCACAAGCTGCAGGCCTTCCGGGCGCTGCGGGGCCTCCGGAGGGGCAGCGCCGTCCTGGGCCAGTACCAGGCGTACGGCGAGCAGGTGCGCCGGGAGCTGCACAAGCCAGACGGCTTCCAGAGCCTGACGCCGACCTTCGCAGGTGGGCTCGGGGGCCGGCACGGGCTGTGGCCGCGTCCCCGGGACCATCCCCACTTTGTGGAGCTTTCTGGGAGGGGGTGCTCCCTCAGACTGCAGACAGTGACCCCAGAACACGAGCAGCAGCCACGGGCTGGGCCCCCGCTCTGTGCCAGGCACTTCACATACATCATCTCGTCTAGTTCTTGCAGGCACACACCTACCAGGCAGGTAGGTTGATTATCCTCATTTAAAGGGAAGGAAAGCGAGGCCTGGTACAGTGAAAAACTGCCCGAGGTCCTGCAGAGACAGTACATGGGGAAATGGGCTTGGAACTTGAGTGGGGAGTCTACTTGGTTTCTGGCCATTAGCGCCCCGGGCAGGTGTCCTTGCCTATGCACCACCCCTTCCTTTCTCCTGCACCTGACCTTGCTTTAAGTGTGTCCACAGTCCCCCCCACCCCCAGCGTGAGACTTTTCTTAGAGGCCCCAGGTCGGAGACTCAGCCAGTTCTCCCTTCTTGGAGGCCTGTGGGTCTATAAGAGAGGCTGTGTATGCCATGGTCCTCGAGTGTTTGTCCGGCTCCGCTGGGGAGAGGGTGACGGGAGGGGTGGAGGGTGGGGGTCAGTCTAGCAAGGCCAGGGGGGTCCTGGTGCAGCGGGTGCCCGGAAGAGGGTCTCAGGGAGAGGAAGGTCAGAAGGGAAAGTCGAAGGGGCCGGGAAGTCCCGGTTTCCCTGTGCCGGAGCTTCACCTGGGCTGTCCCCTGTTACTGCAGGCATCCTCGTTCACGTGGACAACCTGCGCTGGGAGGGCGTCCCCTTCATCCTGATGTCGGGCAAAGCCTTGGACGAGAGAGTGGGCTACGTCCGGGTCTTGTTCAAGAACCGGGCGTTTTGCGTCCAGAACGAGCAGCAGTGGGCGGGGGACCGGAGCCGGTGCCTGCCGCGGCAGGTCATCTTCCACATCGGCCACGGTGAGCTGGGCAGCCCTGCCGTGCTGGTCAGCCGGACCCTGTTCAGGCCCGCCCTGCCCTCCGGCAGCTGGAAGGAGCTGGAGGGCCGGCCGGGGCTCCGCCTTTTTGGCTGCCCTCTGTCCGATTTCTATGCCTACAGCCCTGTGCAGGAGCAGGACGCCTACTCCATCCTCATATCGCACATCTTCCATGGCCGCAAGGACTCCTTCATCACCACGGAGAACCTGCTGGCCTCCTGGGTCTTCTGGACGCCCCTGCTGGAGGGCCTGGCCCACGAGGCCCCGCGCCTCTACCCGGGGGGAGCGGAGAACAGGCACCTGCTGGACTTCGAGTTCAGCGGCAGCCAGTTGGCCTTTTCCGTGCAGCAGGCTGAGCAGCTGGTGCCAGGGCCAGGTTCCGCTCCGCTGCCCAGTGACTTCCAGGTCCTCAGGGCCACGTACCGAGACAGCCCCCTGGTCACAGCCTGGCCCGAGGAGCTGATCGCGAAGCTGGCCGACGACATCGAGGCCGTGGCGGCGAAGGCGGTGCAGCGCTTCGGCCAGTTCCACCTGGCGCTCTCGGGCGGCTCCAGCCCCATCGCCCTGTTCCAGCAGCTGGCCTCGGGGCACTACAGCTTCCCCTGGGTCCACACGCACCTGTGGCTGGTGGACGAGCGCTGCGTCCCGCTCTGGGATCCCGAGTCCAACTTCCAGGCCCTGCAGACGCACCTGCTGCGGCACGTCCGGGTGCCCCACTACAACGTCCACCCCATGCCCGTGCACCTGCGCCGGCGCCTGTGTGCCGAGGAGGACCGGGGCGCCCAGGCCTATGCCGAGGACATCTTGGCCCTGGTCACCAACGGCAGCTTTGACCTGGTGCTGCTGGGCATGGGCACCGACGGGCACACGGCCTCCCTCTTCCCACAGTCTCCCACCGGCCTGGACGGCGAGCAGCTGGTCGTGCTGACCGAGAGCCCCTTCAAGCCGCACCACCGCATGAGCCTCAGCCTGCCCCTCATCAACCGCGCCAGGAAGGTGGCGGTCCTGGTCATGGGCAAGCTGAAGCGTGAGATCACCATGCTGGTGAGCCGCGTGGGCCGCCAGCCCAGGAAGTGGCCCATCTCGGGTGTCCTGCCCGATTCCGGCCAGCTCATTTGGTACATGGACTACGAGGCGTTCCTGGGATGACGGTGCCTCCGCCCTCTGCTCCCTCCCGTGCTGTCTTTCACCTGTCCTGTCCCCTCCCCTCCGAGTCCTGCCACCCGCCCGCGTGCTCCGGCTCTCTGGAATCCGATGCCTCGGGGTCAGGCCCTGGGAGAGGCCCTACCCCAACCAGTCCCTCTGACGGCCCCCGTCTAGTTGTGATGGGCAGATACAGAAAGAAGGAAGACACAGAGGCTCGAGCGGCGCTTCAAATCCAAGGCAGGAGAGAAACACCCACCCAAAGACGAGACCTGCGGCGGCTGCACGTGAATGTCACCAGCAGAAAACAGGACAGTGTGAAAGCCCCGGTTCCAGGAGCAGGCATGTGGCCGGCCACCGGGAGCTGTTGGGGAGGGGGGGCCTGCGAACTGGCCACTGTGAAGAGTGGACAGCAGAGAGAAGGGAGCGCCAGCCGAGTAGGCGCTGGGCGCTGTCCGGAGCGCTCGGGCTGCTGCGGCCCTCGCTTCCTTCTGAGCGTCCGACCTTCAGCCTCCTGCCCTGTCCACCTGCTCAGAGCATCCTGTCCCTTTCTCCTCAGTCCCGACGGTGGTGCCACCCCCGTGTCGGCTCTGTGCCTTGGCTGTCCCCCAGACCCTCCACTCACAGACAGGTGGAGGACAATGACAGTAACACAGCCACAAATACCAGGTTGTTACCACAGTGCCAAAAACCTCGTGACTTGTCGGGAGCCCTCCCTCAGCAGTGCACTCTGCGTGGGGGGCCGCCGGTGCCCCAGCTCTTCAGGGAGGACCCCGTCCCCGCTGTCAAACGCGCTGGGCGCAGGTGCTCGGGCCACTCCAGGGAGCCCTTCTTTAAGGGGGGGCCTTTGCATCTCAGGGGACTTACTGGCAGGTGTTCCCACTCTCAGTGCCCTCTCTCGTTTAACCGGGAGACCCAGTCACATCTGTCTTGGGGGCAAAGATGCGTCATCAAGCCCCAGACCGTCCAGACACTGATCCGACCCGACGGGCCAGGCCTTTAGGGGGCAGCCAGGGAGCACAGTAGCGTTGGCTACCGCCCACCTTTCTCGTACTACCTCTCGGTGGCTTCCAGCCTGCTGACCTCCCACCTGCTGACCCCCCCCCCCCCCCCGCCACCTCTCGCTTCACCACTGACGCGTTGCCGGGAGACTTGGGGCACAGACCGGCAGCTTCTCCTTAAGAATAAGTTGGGTGCTCTGCCCTTGAGAAGTACGAGCCAGCACTACCTGTTTTCCTGGAAGCCCCAGGGGGTATCTGAAGTGCTTTTAAAAAATCAAAATGATCAGTTTTTCCTTCAGCTTCCCACAGAGTCATGTCCCCAGGCTGGGACCGTGCCCCGTCCCCTGCCCACACTGTGCACCAGGTAGATGGGATGTGCCCATGTCAGGCTGAGGGCTCTCCTCGGGAGGCAGAGAGTCTCGGAATCTGTGTCTTCACTTCGGACTGTTCGGACTGTTCGGACTGTCTTCAGGGCTGGGGAAGTACGGGAAGTACTGCTCTTGTTTGACGTGTGAGCCTGTGAAACGGGTGCCTGAACTGGGGCACTCTTTGTTAAAATTCTGCCTCCTCTGGCCTCCAGCGGCCAGGCCCAGACAGGGCATCTCTCTGTACACCAGGAGAGCTGACCTTGGCGGAACAGGGTCACAGTACCAGGGTCGGGAAGTCTCCTCCCTTGCTGGAAGTCAGCCGCCCAGCTTTGCCGCTGTCGAGATGCTGCTGGTGGACTCAGGTGGTTGCAGTTCTGGTGCTACATGTGGTCACCTGGGGGCGCTCATGCACCATCCGTGCTGGTGTAGCATCTGACTTCTGAGGAATTCCCCCCGCCCCCTGCTATGTTGTACTTGCATTTTCATAATCTGCCTCCCTGCGCCCTTGGCCCTGAGCACTCCCCCAGCTGTTCTCAGGGAATTTCTTCCTCTGTGGTTGCAACACCAGAGAGAAAGCAGCCTCCACAGGCCTGAGTCTCAGTCCAGGATAAAGGGTGAGCTGCCACCATTTCTGAATAATAGTGAGTCACTGCAGGCCGGAGCCTGGCACGTCCTGCTCTTAGAGTGTTGCCCTGCCTCAGAACGCACCCTCTGTCTGCGGAGAGCTTGCGTCTGGGGGTAGGGATGGGGGAGTAGTGCCAAAGGTTTCCTTCCCAGAATCAACTGCTGTCTGAAAGTCACGTCTGAAAAGACCACGAGAAGACATTGTCAGCCTTTGCTCCCACCCGCTCCCTTGCCCCCTTCCCTCCCGCCCTGCGCCAGGAACCAGAGAGTCTCAGAACCGGAACTGGCCAGCCACGCTGCCGCTTCCCACCCTCTCCGGACCACAATGCACAGCCTGAAACCCTCAGCATCCTGAGTCCCACAGAGATCTGTCCCAAGCACAAGGGTCGAGACATGGGGTACGCTCTCTTTTCTATTTTTCATTAAAAAATGCTGCTTGTAATCTGCTAACTTGAGTTCATACTCAGCTTGAAAAATGCTGCTGGAACCCAGCCCTGCCCTGTTCCACAAGCCGAGGAGGACCCAGGTTTGGAGGGGGCACGGGCCTGGCTCCCACGGGGACACCGCTGACCACTGTGGCACTGGGACCCAGGCCTTGCAGTCCGCCAACCCCATGCCTTGGGCTCACCCAGTCCAGTGAGGCTGCCCAGGCCCCATGGCGAGGGAGGGTGGTGAAGAAGCTCTAATCAGAAGCCTGCGAGTGATTGTGACATAGGGGTTAAGTACCAGGCTGGATACTAAGCATTCTGTCTAGCGTGGCCTTGTCTGAATCTTTCCCACTACCCTGTGAGGTTGGTGGAGGAGGCCTCATTTACTGATGATTTTGAAACTGAAACTGGTCTAAAGACAATAGGCTAGTCTCTCTAAGCCAGGCATGGAAGCTGGGTCTTGAGGATTCTAGACATGCCCTCCTGGCTGCCCTGCGGTGCCACCTCCTTCCCAGGGAGCCCTGGGGTGCTCGCTGCAAATGACCGATACCCAGAGTCTTGTAGAGGCAGAAGGCCCCCCCCCCCCCCCCCCGCAGGAGGCCTTGTCAAACTGGCATCTGTAGAGCAAGCATCATTGCCCCGTGTTTTCGGGAAAGAGGCAAGGGACTTTCCGGGCTGCTGTGAGCTAGAATCTGATTTCGATCTGGGAACGCAGTCTTCTGCTAACCGCAGGCTAACACAGGCTCGTCCTGTCGTTCTTCCCCGCTCCCCTTTCTCTCAGACAATGCTTTATTCCCACTCCCTTGGTTCAGCAGCGTAATGGGCTCTCTGCCTGTGGGCGAAGATTCCCGAATAGCCCTTCGGGGACTGTCATTCCAGAATGACAGGCTGGTCTCCCTGGCCCCTCTGGGAGCTTTGCCTTTCCCCGTGGTCCAGCCAGCCCAGGCAGAGAGAGAGCTGGGGACAGTGTAGCAGAAAGAAGGGAGAAGCTTCCATCCTCAGACCTTTCCTACTATTTCGTTTTCAGAAAGAAGCCCCTCCCCCAGCAGAAATGCACGCACCTCCCACGAGCAGTGTCTGCCTCGTCCTTGCACAGATGCGTTTCTACCTTAAGCAGACAGGGCCCTGCGGCCCTGGGTCCCCTAGGGGAGGAGTTGGCCTGGCAGCGTGTGGGAGAATGAACGAGTCACAGGAAGGGCCAGCGGCGACGTGGCCAGGTGGCTGTGGTGTCCAGCCCACTCCATCTGCACCCGCCCACCCCACAAAAGATGGGGGGCCTTGAGAGGGTGGTCCCCTGGCTGAAGTGAAGGATGTGGGCTGCGGTGCACCCCCCACACACACACACCCCCACAGCCACTCTGCTAGGCACCCCCCTCCCACTGCAGCACCCCCCCCCCCCAGCAGCTCATTTGAGAAGCTACTGGCTTTTTTCAGGTGACATTTCCATGAGAAAGGGTGCTTCCTCCATTCCCCTGGTTTTCATTCTGAAGACCAGGGTGAGGGCAGATACCAGCAGGGCCTCCCCTGGGCCCTGGGGCTGTTGCCGCCCACCTGTGCCTTGTTCCCAGCCAGGAAAGCCACGTTGGCACAGTGCTCAGGGCCAGTTGCCAGCAAGACACCTGGGTGGGTGGGTGGGTGGGTGGGTGGGGGGTCTTGAAGGCAGAATGCCAGGGACCTGCCTCAGGTCCCTGCCTTCTCTGTCCCTTGCTGGGAAACTCCACACTGGGCTTCGGTCAGGCAAGGAGAACGGAGTGGGGGAAACTCCCTGTGCGGTGGGGAGACATTGGGCCGGAGAACCCCCCTCTTCCCAGCAGGCAGTGAGACCATGCCTTTTGGCAGAGAGAGAGAGAGAAACTGCCCCTGGTTTTTTATGGAAATACTGGGCATGTAAAGATGCCTCACACAATGAGACATATTCAGAGTTTTTAAAACGACTTTTTCTATGTCCAACGTCACATTTATTTTTTGAACAATAAACTTGTTTTGCCAAAATCCATGTTTTCCTTCTCTGTCTGGGAGACGGAGGGTAGTGGGTTGCAGGCCTTGGCACGGGGCTGTGTGTGCCCGGAGGAGGGGGGGCCGAGTGAGTCCCGGAGCCAGGCCCTCCGTCTGGGTTCAGTGCAGATCCCGGCTGGGCCGAGCAGCCACATTGCCCGAGGCCCCCGGGGCCTCCTGGGAGGCAGCGGGTCCACAGGGCCGGGAAGGACAGCGCCCGAGGGCGTGTACTGCAGCATCTCGAAGCAGCAGGACCAGGTGTCACAGCCGGTCCCCTCGTGTCCTCTGCCCGTGTCACGCTCCCGGGATGGGAGGGGTGTGGGGCAGCCGAGTGAAACTGCAGGACCACGGGGTGCCGGTGCCACAGCAGCGTCGGGAGGGGCCACAGAGCACTCCCCCTGCCCTTCCTCGCCTCCCTGTCCCCCAGTTCTCGGCCGTGAACAGTTGAGACTTTCTCAGTCTTTGTCAAGTGCCGCTTCAAGGCAAGGAGTATCCAGCTGCCTTTTCTAATCAGATTCCTGCCCCCAAAGCCCTTCCTCCTGGGAACAGGGAGAGGGCCTGTCTCTGGGTGGGGGGAGGGGTGCTTGTCCATCCCTGAGGTGTGCGCCCACCCAGAGGGTCCCTCCTGAAAGGAGAAGGTGCTGCCCCAGAAGGTCAGAGCTTCCAATGGCTCGCTCGGTGCCGGCGGCCCTCAGAAGCTGGGACGTTCTCCTTCACAGAAATGGCAGTTTTGGCAGTTGGCACTTCATGTTCCAGAGAAGGGAACATCCGCCCCAAAGGTCTTCTAATCATCAGATTATCCCAGAAGCCCAGGTTTGGCCGGCAGTCGGCTCTGACACTCACTAGGGTTTGAGAGCGAGGTCAGAAGGGGACGAGCGGGGAGGTGCCCGCGCAGGGTGACCAGGCTCAGGAACCAACACGGACCGAGTGCTTTCCTTGGCTCCCCCACAGCCAGCTGCCATGCTCACTCCCAGCGCCTCCGACACTCCCGGCCCCGCCCCCCCCATCCTCAGCTTCTGCATCCTTAGCCCCAGTTTGATTCCCTGCAAATACTACAACTTAAGGTTGCCGCTCCAAACAAGACCCCTGGAGTGTCTCCATGGCGAGTGTGGTTTAAGGACCAGGGATGGTGGAGGTTGCAGTAGCCCGGGTCTTTTTTGGAGCGGCGTTCCAAGCCAGCTTAACTGCCGATAGGCCGGCGGGGAGCCGTGCAGGCGCTGTGCAGTGGTCACGGAGGCGCAAAGCCCCCTGGGCTTGACCTCCAGTGACCCAGGGCAGCAGTGGGCCCGGGTCTGGCTGCAGTCTCGGCTCCGAGGCTGCGTCTGCCCCCCGTCACACCATTGCCCTCTGCTCCCCAGCCTGGACGGCCCCTCGGTGGAGAGCTTCCCGAGAAGGAATGCTCTGGTGCCTCACAGGCTCCATGTTTCCTAAAACGGGACTGCTTAGTTGCCCTTCCCCAGGCCTCCCCTTCCTCCCCACGGACACCCCAGGACTCACTCTGTGTCTCCCTTTAGGGGTGTCCCCATCTAAGTGCAGTGGCTTTGGGGGCCTCGTCTCGGGGCCGGGTCTCTCCAGCACCATGCCCTGGAGAACAGCGTTTGGGGGACGTGCGGGAGCGCAGTGCTCCCTGACAGGAGGGGCCCCAGGGCGTGTCCCCCAGCTGTCCCCAACATCTAGAGTGGCTCAGCATCGGCGTCTATGCCTAAGACTGGAACCCAACACCCACTCACTGCCCAGGAGGCAACTGAACACAGCTGTGCCAGGTGTGCCCTGCACGCCAGGCCCTGCAGCACCTCGTGCGTCCATCCACCTCCACGCTGACTCATCCGGGTCCAAGCCTGGAGGAGGGGCCACCCCAGGCTCTGACCCTGGGGGCCCAGCATGTGCCTGGTGAGTGTGGGGACTGTGGCGTAGACTCTCCCAGCACCCCATTCCTCCCTCTCGGGTTACTGTTCCCGCCCCTCTCCAGAAGGACAGATGCCATCCGGTCCTCCTCCCTGGCCACAGAGAGGTCCAGGGAGAGAGGGTGACACAGG